ATGAATGTGGGAGCAATCTGATCCTGAGTACCCTCACAGGAAAATGAGCCTTAAAGCAAATTGTGCCTTTTTTCCTATGCAAATTACGTCAGTTTGTGTGTGATCTGGAATGCAGCCATGGCAGGGGGCAAAGGGTTAAAATCCTATAATCCTGCACACATTAGTGTTTTAATTCAGATCAGGTCCACTCAATTTTGAACATGTTTGACCCATATAGTATCTTAACTTTAGATGAATTGAGGCTAGAATGCAGATATATTTTACAAATGCGTTCATATTGGTTAACAACATGTTTTCAGACCATGGTGTTCCTGAACCTATTAATAAATGTTGTACTCTTCAATTTTTAAATAAGGGAGATGGTATACACCAGGATCCCTCAAGCATAATGAAAAAACAGGTACTGTAACTTCTAAGTAGGCACAGTTGGAGGGCATATTTCTGTAATCAGCTCTTGTGAACAATTTAGGTATGTCACAGAAAAACCGGTTTTTAATTCAGTACAGCTCATGTCAGGAGCTATTAAAGATAACCTTGGGTAACACTAAAACAAACCACTAATTATAATGTTGCTATAATGCTATGCAATAAAACAATAACATTACAAGTCTTATAAAACAAACCCTATCATTCTGCTTTCAAATAGCAAATCTTAAAAATAAAGCACTATGACCAAACAGACACGCTTGCATTAAATAGCTTACTCATGCATTAAATAGCTTACTCACATGCCAGGTAATTTCCTGTTATTTCAGGGCTTCTACTGAACTCTTTCTTATATAAAAAGATATTAATGGAGAGAAGTTCTGAAACTCATTCACAGGACAGTGTGTTTTCTAAAACGTAACCATCCTTGTCAAGGTAGACACTTGAAAGGCTATTTGGAATGCAGTGCCTTGCAGTCTTGGTCACATGCATCCAATGCATGTAAGATGTGTCACACCAATAGCCTGCACCATTACAGTATCTTACACCCTGCATTTGTTCATTTCTGGCTATCAAGATGAAGTATAATCAAGAGGAGGAGGGAGGGGAAGATGCTAAGGTGTTGTCAAGTATAGCAGAAGTAATTGGCAGCCTCTTCTCTTCCCCACCCTCTAGGATGGCCCTTTTCCTCCTCTCCAAGTCAGTTTGTGGCCTTGGAGAGAAGGTTTGTGAGGTTCTTTTTGTATTAGCTGCAAAGGGGGAATGGCAAAAGTTTGAACATTCAGAGTCCCAGCACTGAGGTTACAAAGGCTCCAAATAATCCTATGGATTCCCAGATGACATAGGGAGGCCATAGGACTGCACCCCTGTTTCATGGAATTTTATGCATACTATTTATGCATACAATTTAATGCATACAATTTATGCATGTTTATTTGGGTGTAAGTCCCACTGGACTGAATGGAGATAGCATCCAATTAAATGTGTATAGGACTGTAGTCTCAAGTAGCCTAGATGAATCAAAGCACATTGTCTGTCTGAGCAGTAGGGAAGTTCAAATAGTTTTAGCCCTTCAGTCCTTGCATTTCAATCCTAAAGACATTTATTTGGAAGCAAGCCCTAGCAATTTCAATGAAACTTACTTCGACATAAAGTTGCTTCTGACTCTGCAGCTTTGTAGCACTCCTAACATTTGTATGACCAGTTTCTGCTGCATAGCACACCTTTGTACAAATGGAAGGCCACATGCAAAATATCAACAAGGAATGCAAACAATGTAGGCATCATAGCAGTTTTGCTTGTTCTAAATACTAATTTTGTGGGTTAAGTACTGTTCCCATCTACATTTTTATGTAAATACAGACACATGCCTTATGTAAATGAAGAAATGCATGAAGGGGGCTGTACATTAGTACAACCAAACCATTTTGAAACAAACCAGCATTTACCATCAGGCATCACAGTTTGATTTTGTCAGGGCCTTTTATTTTCTTGTGTTGTTGTTATTGTTTTGGCATGTGCCAGGGGGATTATCTGTGTCCTGAGTGCATGACATTTGGGTGGTCATCTGGGATTTATCAAGAACCTGGAGCAGATCCTGGCATAGTTCTTTTGGCTCTCAGGGATTGCCAAAAGAAGAGCTGAAGATTGCAAAACCAGCCCATTGCAGAACTATCCCAACACATTGGGATGAATTTCACAGGTCCTTTGAATCATATGCTTCATAAGAGTTTTTCAAATTATACAATTTGGTATCCAGGAGTCTGTGTCTTTTGTAATACAAAGCTGCCTAGACCGACACATCCATCTGTGACAGTGGGCCATACATGGATACAGAATGAAATGTACTTCCAGAAATCTTCTGGGTGGTCTTCCTCACTCAAGACTAATATTATTAGGCTCCTCAAAACAGACACATCTCAGAATGGATATTGATAGTCATTGTGATATCTTGGTTACAGTGTTGGACTTGAGAAAAGGAAGAGTTGGGTTCTATTGCTGTTGGGTTCTATTGCTGCTTGACCATGAAGTTCACTGGATGACTTTGGGCCACTTACAGGCTATCATCTAATCCAGCTCATAGGATTGTTGTTGTGAGGAGAAACAGAGCTGTGTATGCTGCTTCGGATCTCTCACAAGAGGAAAAAAGGTGGGATATAAATGCAACATAATAATAGAAACAATACTGAAGTTACCAGAAGTCAATTTTGAAGTATTTGAACCACGTCAGGAACTGTCTATGTCGACCTTTCTGATGGTCAGTCAGGGAACATTATTCTTTTCACTTGGAGTCTTGAAAAGTGATCTGGGAATGCTTGCAGCCAGTTCCACAGAAGCTCTGAGTTCCAGTGGAATTGAAGATCCCAGAAATGTTACAGATATAAGTAACAAAGGGACATGACCCAACTCACAGAAGGATTCCTCTGCTAATAGAGCAAGGCTCAAGTACTTCATAAGGCAACACGGGACAAACACAATGTGGGACATCATGGCTGGTCCCAGACATATGATCATCCCTCTCTGGATTTGGGCTTGAAAGACCAAAGACAAGTGTGGATCAGTGGAGCGGACGTTGTTATCAAGCACAGTCTGGGACATTGCACAACATCATTAACTGATCACAGGGCCCATCAGTTAAGAATTAGCTTTAGCTTCTAGTTTCCTGACTTTGTGGAGCTTGGGGCAACATGAGATAGACCTAACTTTGGTCTTAAACTAGCTGAGGTATTTTTTATTGATTATATAATAATATTGGCAGGTTGGAGTCACCACCTAGTCAATCTGAAGATAGGACAGACAGACATACTGCCTTCTTGTTTTGTAAATATTCAATAATGTTTATTTGCATAGCCTCCAGTAATATCCAATTACCAGCTTTTAATGTGCTTAATTTAGGCTCAATCTTATGCCTGCTTAGAGAGAGAAAAGTCTTACATGGATTGGTGAGGGATACTGGAAGTTACAGGTTTTTTCTGTCTAAACTTGCATAGGAATGTATCATTAATGGGAGCCTCTCTCCCATGGAATAAGTCCATGTGCTTCCAGGATCATGTATACAGAAAGGGGGTGACTCTTGGATACAAGGAAAGGAAAGGAAATAAGGAACCATCCACGTGGTTCTAACAGCCTCAGCTTTTTAATAGACCTGCTCCTATCCCTTTAAAAGCAACCTGACTCAAAAATGTAACAGGTACAGAATTTCCCAACTGCTTCATTCCATGCCACTAGAAGTTTTCTGAGGTCTACCTGAAAATAAGGAAGTGATTTCAAGCTGCTTGTTCTTTAAGGGGATTTAGAATATATTATGTCCTTTGTCTTCCTCCAATAAAAACATGGTGAATACGTAACTTTAAACTTTACTAGGGCCTATTTCCCACATAACTCCATAGCCAAAGTCAACATTTAAATCAACAATTTCCTGCTGAAATGCTTCAGTTACACACATCTCAGTTTCAGTTCCTTATTGGTAGAGACTACTCTGGAGGAATTGCTGAATTCAGAGAGTTTTTAAAAAAATATAAATCCCTATTTTCTTTTCTGAATACATATAAATCCAGAATGTGCTTCTCCATAGATGTCAGAGATGCAAGTGCTCCACCTCATAGCAGTCAATGGGGAAGCCCTTGTGCACAAAAATTGAGAGAATCAGACTAAGAAAGTTCTAAACTTGTTTACAACCTATTTAAATGCAAATATTTGTTTATTTCAAGGAAACTATGTTAACTTGTTAAAATTTGGTGGTTTTAAGTTTGAGGTAGGCTTGGGGGACAATGTGTACTTTACAATTGTAAAGTTTCACTTTAGTAACCTTTGTCTTCACTGAAAAATTATTATATCCTAAAGCTTCCAATTATATTCATAGTCAAAACAGAAAAGAACAAGGAAGGAAGGGCCTCAGAATTCTTTGTTCACAAATATACTTCACCCTTGCATAAAACTTTTTCTCTGGTTTCTAGTCTTTAAAAAAAGGTAAAGATGTGATCTACACTATAGTCTTAAACTGGTTTAACAGCTAAGCCGTCTCCCCAGGGAACTATTACTTTGTGAAAATTGCTCAGACTGTCTAACAATGGACTCTCTGTAAACTACAATTCCCAGGATTCTTTGGGAAAGCCATCATAATTATTCTGGTATGAAACTTATACAAGTTTTTAGCATCATGCACAAGGCCCATAAGGATGTCAGTGCCTAAGCTAATATACCAACAGAGCAGTCATGTGTATGGCTATTCAGCACATCCCAATGAGTTACATGGGGCTTATTTTTAGGTGTGTAGGATATGTGCACTTATAACATTTTTGCAATTCACTGATAAGAACTGGGCTGACTAGGCAATGCATACAATTGCAGTGCAAAGGGATTTTTTAGTGTGTGTAGTTCAGAATGGGGTAGTAGATGGAGAGAAAGAAAGAAAGATCCCATTTTATTGGGTGCACTTAAACTTGCTCTTTCAATTTTTGTAAATGGAACTAGTCATTCAAAGGAAGAAGAGACAAACACCCTCCCCATTGCATAATAATGTAAGGAGGAATTACAGCTTTCAAAAGGATTTCTGATGCTGGGCAGTTCCTCTTCTAATGATGGTATGGTTACTTTCTTAGTCACAAGTTCTGAACACAGTTCTGAGTACAGATGCTTGGTGCACGTAGTGGAAGCCACTTTTGTGTTCAGCAGGTCACTCCAGCCTAAACATATGTACAATGGAGAAAGTTGATGTCTTAACTCACAGCCCCTTGTTGGGGAAGGAGGGGCTCAAGAAAACAATTTAAGGGATTTGAAAGGTCTTATCTATTATTTCTAAAATAGATCCCTCCCCCATTTTTGTTGTCTTTCCCAAGAACCAAAAGCAGTAGGTTAGAAGAGAGCATATATCTTTTTCTCTTTTTTTGGCGAATCTACTGCGAAAAGAAGACATTGACAGGTTGTTTCCTTCAAATGGACACACATTATTCCAATAATTCCGGCTATATTATGACCAAGGTAAGTACCATGGACATCCTTATGTTGATGTTTGTAGGGTATAACATTTGAAGGATGTGTATTCTAGATCCCTTAAAGCAGACTCACTCCTTGGCTACAAATTTAGTGCTTGCATACTTAGAACTAAATCCCATGGAATGGGATTTCTGTGATCTACACTTAAGTAAATAAACATCCCAACCAGGCTGCTTAGGTAAACAACTATCTTCACAAGCTGGAGAATACAAGTTGGACTTTTTGTGTGGTATGCTGTAAAAAGGTGAAGGTTTAAAATGGAGAGTCTTGATAAGGAGTAGCTATTCTGGATTACTAATTCCATTTTTTAAAAAAGCATTAATTTGTATATGTGGTGTGCTAACTGCTGTTGCCAACATCTTACTAGTTCTGCTTCAGGGTTGATGTTCAGATATCTGAAGGATTGCATTTTTCCACAGCAACTTACCTGAATAGTTACATCTCCCCCCCGCCCCCCGCCCCCCGCCCCCAAAATTCTGCTTCTTCCCAGGAATTTAGCTGAGGAGTGATTGGAAAGAGAGTTGAGTGCCTTGTCTCAGAAATATTCTCCCAAGGATAGCTTGCCAGATAACTGATCTCAGGTTTGTCTTGTGCCATGTGAAGACATTTTACTGCACTTAAAGATTTGTTTTATGCAGGTTTAACTATATTACCTTTGGTGCTTTACAGTTCTATTTGCTTTTATTGGTTATTGCTTTTATTTATAAATTTTGTGTGTAAGCTGCCTGGAAAATTGCCAGACCAAAGGCAGGGCACTAAATACTGAAGGTTTACATTTAAGCCCAGCTTAATATTCTGCTGGAGGTTTTTCAAGCAATTTTTCTCCATGGTGTCCTAAATGTATGTTTTGGGTTTCTATTAAGCCTGAGCAGAGCCAGTAAAAAGTAGAAGATCAAAGTGTTATTCAACTTTTGGATTTTAGGGTGGCTCTCTAGCACCCTACAAAAATTAAGCATGTGAGTGGTGAACCTTTTACTTTAAAAGAAATATAAAACACTAATATTCTTGTATGGAAAAGAAAGTACAGCAGGGAAACATTCAGAAGAGTATTTAAAGTTCTCTTCCTTTTGAACCTTATGCATCTCAGCAGAATTTGGAGATAATTTCATATATATATATATATATATATATATATAATGAAATTATCTACCTTAGTAAAACAACAGGAATGTTAAATTGGCCTTCAGCCAGCAAAGTCTCTTAGAACAGGATAAAATTTCAGTTCAGATTTACGGGAAGTTGTTGTGAGTAAAAAATCTGGTTTGGTGAGTTTGAGGGCTGGCAGTAAAGAAGACAACCTTGCTACTGTGAGTTGCTGGGGAGGGGGCGGGGGAGTCGTGCTGAGCCCAGCCAGACACGCCGCCTTCACCTCAGTCAGTTTCAGCACGAGACCGTCCCTGTCAGGAGGCAGAAAACCAAGTTCTGGAAGCGGAATAGCTTAACTTTAATGCTTTATGCCTAGTCAGGAATTCAGTCTAACAGATCGCCTCCCGATCAGCACTCATTTTAGCACTTTTGGAATGTGTATCTTAGGCCAATGAGAAGCCAGGACTTTTGCTCAGCTGGTTCCACTAATTGCAAGTTTCTCCCTGGACCCACTTGCAGTCTTCAGAAAACTCCCAAAGGCCAAGACTGAAACGTTAACAGTGATCTATTGCAGCGAGTGGAATTGCAGGACATTGCTCAGTGCTTTTCATTTGAGCAGGCCATCGCACAAGAGTGTTGTGTGTTGTGTCCGTGCGTGCATGTGGGAGAAAAGAAGTAAGATGCATTAGCTGCCTGCCCAGGAAAGCTTCCTTATTCCTGAGAATACTGCTAACTGACTTCAGTTCACAACCCAGGTAGGCAAACATTTGTTACTGTCGTGCCTGTTCTAGTGAATCTGCAGTGAATCTTTTTTTTCCCCTTTTTTAATCGAAGGTTATTTGGAGTGTAGACTGCTGTTGAATTACTTTTTGCTCGAGTTGTTGTGTGTGCGTGTGTTTCTGCATATGGTCTTCTAAAAGCAGCGTTGGTTAACCTGTTTAACACGAGTTTTAATTCTGAATAAATTCAATTTTAGGCTCCTGCTCATGAGTAAATGCACATCCTATTAAGATCAGGATTAAACCCAACTTTAATTTAACCTTGGAAGGAAATGATTGGTGTTCCCTTAAACATAACACAAGGCTTGAATTGTTTTGTAGTAGAAAATGCTGTACGCATTTATAATGTTTTTAATCCCGTACATTATAAATGGATGAAGTGTTTATGACAAATTGTTCAGAATTTCAGGTCTTTTCCATGAGTAGCTAGAACTGAGGAAACTACACTTTCATTCTGATTCAAGACATGTTCACTGGGAAGTAAATTTTGCTGAATTTAGTGGATCTTGCTAGTTAGCATCCATAAGAATACAGCCTATTAATGTTTTAAAAAATGAAAGTGGAAAATTTTAACTAGCAAACGTCCATGCGTTGGTTTAATTAGAAATTACTTTTGGCTACAATCTTGCACAGAGTTGAATAGCAATATTATGCATAGGTTGGATCTGTAAAATTCCATTGACTCTGATAGTACTGAAACAGCCTTTGAACAGGTCTGCAACTTCTTTTCCTTTGGAGTGTGTGGATGGAACCAACCTATATATGTTCTGGAAATTTGCATTGATTATTTCCCTTTCTAGAATTAAAATCCTCATTGGGGGAAGGTAACAAAATTAGAAAAGTTAAACGATGGGAATGACTGCGTCTCACTTTGCAAAGCCCATCCATGCAATGGGCATGGCAGCCTTTAGTTCTAGAAATGTCTGCGATCTAATGAGTGACTCTCCATGGGTCCTTCTCCTTCACCCCTTCCTGGGTTTCTTGGACAGTTAGGCTGCATACACTTTTTGAAAAAGAAGAAGCTTGACAAACGGAGTTTATACAATTTAAAGGGGAAACAAAACTATCTCAGCAGTTGCAACAAATATGTAGCAAATTAGGATGTGCTGTTATTTTCCAGAGTCTTTGTGATGACCTTCTTTTTAGCAGTAGGCATGTGAGGGGTGCAGGTGCCAGAACACAGAGGTGAAGGGTCACTTATGTATGAAACAGAGCCTGGTTTAAAGCTGAAAAACTGAATGCGACATACTGTGGAAAAGGGGAATAAGATAAGAGCAGGAATATGCTGTTTAATCCAACTCTTACCTAGCAGAGCTTTACAGCAAAACAAAACTGCTGTCTTCATATAATTGGAAGACGAAGTGTCCCTTTTTTTGTTTCTAATCTCCTCCATCTTATTTTCCATTGCCACACAGATGCCAGACTAGCAGCCCAATCTACAAAACATCTTACTCTGGAGAATTTAGATTTAACCCGTTCATACTTAAAAAATTCAGTTTATTTATTTCATACTTTTTATTACATATTCTTGAAGTTCATTCTAAATTAAAGCATATACTGATTTGAACTCCTTGCTTGATGGAAGATAATGTCCTATGCAAGACTTCACTGTGAACCAGGCAGTAATGTTTGTGGAAAATGGGGTTGTGGGATGCACAACAGCCTTGTTGACAGGAAGACATTCCATTTAAATCTTTTTGACATGCTGGTGGACAACCTGGTCCTTAGGAAAGAACCTTCATTGACTCCACCCACCAGAAGGACCATATGAAAAATGGAATGTTTGAGACTGAAGAACAAAAGGCCTTAATTCCTACATTCCATGCAAAACGATGAAGTTCTTCTTGGGGTTTTCCAAACCATTTTCTCATCAGAGTTTTTAATTCTTATTCAGTCCTTTAGCTTAAACAATGATTCAGTTTTGCAGCTCCTTTTGACCACTATGCTAACAATTATTTTTTTCATCTTTTTAAGGAGAAGGAGGAGTTTACACTGTTCCCTGCATTGGATAAGGGAACACAAGCTCCATGCCAGCCTTTTGTGACTTGGTTGGATTACAGCTTCCATAATCCCCAGTCAGCATGGTCAAAACACAATTCTCTGGAACCATGCTTCACACCTCATGTCACACAGTTGCATAGTTTTTTCTACAACCTGTTAATGTATACACCATTTAGGAGCATTGGCCAGTGCATTATAATGAAGCTGTCCATTGGTCCATCCGGCCCAGTATACATTATGTTGATTGGGAGCAGCTCTCCAGGTTTCCCAGCAGGGTGGCTTTCCTAGCCCTCCTTGGAGAGCCTGGAACATTTGGATTGAGTCTCTCCCTAAAGCTTCTGTCTCTTATTTTCTTGGTACCTTAAGCATGAGTTTGAGATGCTCTTTGATCAAACTATCAAGCCACCTTGTCACTGATGTGAGTGCAGGAGTTTTTGTTCAGGGATTTTAATTCATAAGAATTATTTTATTGGTTTGGGGAGATTTTTTATCTCATTTTCAAATGTATACCACTGCTGTATATTGCTACAAACCCAGTAATCATTTGTGACTTGTCACTATAAAAGGTGTGGTCTGATGGCACTAACAGTGCAATCCTATGTGTCTGCTGAGAGGTAAGCCCCATTAAGTCAGTTGAGCTTACCCACAGGTAAGCAGGTACAGGATAGCAGCCCCTGCACCTGCTTTCTTTTCCTTACCAATGCAGTACTGGGTACACCCAACTCCCACCATGATCAGGCATATCTTCCCATTATTGTCAAAAAGTGGGTTTTCTGTAGTTGGTATTTAAAGGGTTTTAGTGATGCAACATATTTAATTGAGCACAAATGTTACAAAGAAAAGAGATGTGCTAACATGGTGAAGTAGTTCAGTTATGATTTCAGATGGGAGAGGAAAAAATTACTGTAATATTCCCCTGAGTCACATTTTCTACTTACTACTTCTTTTAAGTAAAATTCACCATTCAGTTTTCCTGATTATCTGATACAAGCATTCCTATATCAACATAATCTTTCCTATTAACACATCTTAAAAGTATGTTTTATCTTTTAAGTATGTCTTAAAAGTATGTTTTATCTGGTTTATCAAGGATGAGCAGAAGGTATGTCCCTGGACAAC